GGGCACCAGGGAACCAGGAGCACTGGGGAGCCACAGCACCGGAGAGACGGGAAACCGTGGGCACCAGGGAACCGGGAGCACTAGGGAACCGCAGCACCGGAGAAATGGGAAACCATGGGCTCCGGGGAACAGGGAGCACCGGGGAGCCACAGCACTGGGAAACCGTGGCCACCGGGGAACCGGGAGCACCGGGGAACTGGGGAGTCGTGGACACCGGGAAACAGGAAAACCGTGAACACCAAGCAGCACTGGGGAACTGAGGGCACCGGGCACCTGCAGCACCGAGGAACCGTGGGCACCGGGGAACCGGGAGCATCAGCTACCTGCAGCACTGGGGAACTGGGAATCCGAGGGGCACCAGAGAGCCGCGGCACCGGGCAGCAGCGGCACTGGGGAACCGGGAGCACTGGGTAGCTGTGGTACCAGGGAACTGGGAAACCGGGAGGACCGGGCAGCCATGGCGCTGGGAAAACGGGAGAACCATGCAGCCACAGCACCGGGGAACCAGGAGCACTGAGGAGCTGGGAACAGGGGGCACCGGGCAGCCACAGCTCCGGGAGACCATGGGCACCAAGGAGCTGCAGTACTGGGGAACCGGGAAACTGAGGGCACCAGGGAGCTGTGAAACTGGGAGATTGGGAGCTTCGGGCAGCTGTGGCACCGGGAAACCGAGACACCAGGGATCTGCGGCACTGGGGAACCGGGAAGACTGGGGAGTCACAGCACAGCAAAACTGGGAGCATGAGGAGCACCTGCCCAGCAGCAGGGCTGGGGCCAGCACCCACACAGGGACCCAGCACCGGGGCCTCCTGCCAGGCCTGGCACTGGCTGTGGGCACCAGCACCAAGCAGCTACCGGGATACCGGGCCTCAGCAGAGCTGTGGCCCTGGGCATGGGCAAGCTCTGGCACCCGGTTTGGCAGCACAGCATGGTTTGGGGTGGGCCAGCAGAGCGTGAGGGGACTGGAGGGAGCCTGGTGACAGCAGCACCCATGATGGGGGGGCACCTGAAGGCAACCCTGTAACCCCTCCCTTCCTCACCCCAGGTGTCGACTTCAAGATGAAGACCATCGAAGTGGACGGCATTAAGGTGCGGATACAGATCTGGTGAGTGCCAGAGCTGGGCCCTAGGATAGGGGGGATTTGGGAGGGTCTGAATCCCACTCCCCTCTCTCCCAGGGTGGGGGCTGAGCCCTGACCAACTCGTGCCATGGGTGGTGGCACTGACCCACTCTCCCTGGCTGCAGGGACACGGCAGGCCAGGAGCGGTACCAGACCATCACCAAGCAGTACTACCGGCGGGCACAGGTATGGGGAGGGGCATGTCCTGGTGCACAGAAGAGGGAAACTGAGGCATGACAGGCTGTAAAAATGGCTGCACCCCCTCTCCTGCAGGGCATCTTCCTGGTGTACGACATCAGCAGCGAGCGCTCCTACCAGCACATCGTGAAGTGGGCCAGTGATGTGGATGAGGTGGGGATGCAAGAGCATGGGGAGGGGTGTCCCCTCCATGGCAGAGGGGTTCCTTATGCCCCCTCCCTTCTCCTCAGTATGCGCCCGATGGTGTCCAGAAGATCCTCATTGGGAACAAGGCGGATGAGGAGCACAAGAGGCAAGTGGCCAGAGAGCAAGGGCTGCAGGTGAGCGGGGGCTGGCATGCACCCCCAGGGTGGTCAGGGCCCCACCTGCACCCCCAGCATG